TTTGCCGACATTGCATCCATTTCCCCTAAAAGTTTCAGTGAGCCGTATGAATAAAAAGAGTTTACTTTACTTTCCCGTGCTTTTCTTACGGGGAAAGTAAAGTAAACGCTTTTATTAATACGACCTAGTGACTCCTTATATTAAAGATTAATGATGACGCCGGCCACGTCTTTGCAACCAGATGGGAGATGGGAAAGAAAGTTAAAGTGACCTTTGTTGTTATGGGGGCCGTGTTTACCTCTGCGTCCTCACAAAGGTCACAGGAGGGAGGTTTTGTTAGTAAGGTGGGGTTCTTTGGACCAGGATTCACCTTGATAAGTGATGTGATGATTGCTTTGATACAATCGCAGTTTGATAAATACACGAATGCGGAGCTATGAGAAAACGAACCAATATTATCAACTCTTTATTGTAAAGATGTCTGGGATTGAACCCATGATTTTCTGCTCAGTAAGCAGAGTAAAATCACTATGAACGACGATCGTTTTTGAATAAACGGATATTGAAATAACGGTTGATTATTTGAAATATACGTATGGTTCAACCAACACGTGACTACCTCTCACCCCAGAAGGCCTGGGTTCAATCCCAGTCGGCGCCGCCGGGATGTTCTGAGGCATAACATCTCTGATCACACCTTCCTTCGGAAGGGAAGTAAAGCCGTTGGTCCCCGGTTCATGAGTTGATGGATCGATAGGTAGGATCCAGGCGTGGTAGCTGCCTCCCTGGCGTCGGTAGCATTGGTGCTCAGCACGGAAAACAAGATCGACGCAATCAAGGAAAAAAAAAACCTACACTATCACGAAGACGACGGCGATGACGACAACAGTGATTTTGGATCTCACTTTTTGTCTAGGATATAACACCTTTGCCTGTACTGCCGCTTGGAAAGCGAGAAAATAATACTCTTTGCCATTTCGAAGAACCAATATTCCAACACCATTCGAACTTTTACTGGACGATACCCATTTTGCTTCGCGATCGCGAAACACGAAACTAAAAATTCTGTAAATTTGCAAACATTAAAACATTTAGAGATAGGTCTTTGCTCGTCGATTACCTTGCCCGTACTCGAAGGAAAGCCAATGTAAGTAATGTTTATAAATACATAGGCGAGACCAAAACGGCCCCACGTGGCTCCTCGCCGCACTGTCACTACCAGTTCCGGGATTCCACGTGGCAGAATTCACCCCAGGGCGCGTCCTAGACCATCCTACCCTACCTAAGTATATGGCAAAAAAAATATTAAACTGGAACGAACTCACCAATTTAGTTGACTGTCCGTAAACTGGGTTCTTCTGCCGCTCTCGAGATGGCATCCATGTTTCCGTTGGTCGGCTGCTTCCCGATGTGAAAGGGTTCTCAGGCCGAAATTGTTCGCAACGTCACAAATTGTCGGGATGGAAGAGGTCTCGGAAAAGTACCGGTCTTACCTGAGCCATAACCGTTGGTTCCGTTACCACTTCTCGAAAACTAAACTGGGGATTGTTCTTCATTAAATGCACTTCAGAACGGGAAATCACGAGAAAACATCTTGACAGCAAAAACGAACGCGTCCGTTCGTCGGCACAGCCTACTTCCGTCACGACACTTTTTAATAAATCATAGCACAAAAACACGACACTCTCCCTTCATCATCCCATCTCTAACCGACGCTGACCAAACGGACAACACCCCTCCCCTCCAACACTTCACTTGCTCTTCCAAACAAACCACCGGCTAAATCTATACACCAAAAACATTTCATTGCAAGATATGTCCACTACGAAACCACTGATATTAATGATATTTTTTATCGTTTTTATCGTTAAAATCGTGACAGCTCCTAAAAATCCAACCGTTGGCAGAGCCTACTCCGAATCGGTGAAGGCGGTAATCGTCGCTTGCACGAACAGTGACGTTTTTGAGTAAGAATTTGTTGAAAAATCTCGAAAACGCCACGTTAAAGTTGTTTGCGAGATTCAAAAATTCTCAAAAATTTCGTTTTCGAGTTTTTTTTATTTATTAAAAGAGGGGATGTTTCTCAGAGTCTTAAACTATGTTAATCATCGATCGAGTTTCCACTTGCTGCAATTACGGCCTCCACACGCTTCCGGAATGCACGGCAGGTTCTAATAATGTAGTCTGGATCCATTTCGCTCCAGGTACAGGTCAATGTATGTCTGAGGCTTGCTGCACTCGGGTGGTGTTTAGAACAGGCCTTGGCCTTCATGATGCACCATATTGAGTAATCCAGCGGATTAAGATCGGGGCTGGATGGCGGCCACATATCCTTCGCCCAGAACGGAAGATGTTCCTGCAACCACTTCTGAGTGCGGTTCGAGGTGTGGCACGGAGCCCCATCTTATTGAAATACAACATTTGGCTTCGGACCGTACTGTTCTTTGATCCACGGAAGAACATACTTACTTAAAATCTCGATGTAGACCTCCGTGTTGACCTTGTCGCCTTCTGGAATGAACACCGGGTCCATTTTTTGCCGTCGGAAGCCACCAATCCAAACACCATAACGCTAGCAGGATGCTTGGTCAGATACACGTTCTTGTGCTCGTCGGCCACGTCTTTTACCGGAAGAGCTAATATACCGGTCGGTTCAGGAATTTGATACGGGATCGACGGTTAACATGCTCTCGTCGGTGAACAGGATTACCGGATTTTTTCGCTTAAGGAAGTTCAAGATTTTCTTGCATCGCTCGACTCGTAGCTCCCGGATGCAGTTGGTAATCATGTGAGTTTTTTTTCGTGCCCTCGACTTCGCCCCGCAATCTTCCTTTACGATCTTCCGTGCCGTAAAGTCACTGATCCCGTGTTCCTTTGCCATTTTCCTTATTGAACGCACTGGATTCACCAGAATCTTCCTTTTGATAGCAGCGATAACCCTCGGAACCCGAGCTGAGCTCGGACGACCTGTAACCACCTTCGCGGATAGTTGTCCTTTCTTTTCTCGGTCTAAAACCCTTTTGACGGTCCTCCGGGACACTCCCACGGCGATTGAAATATCTTTTTGCGACATTTGCGCGTGGGACAAATCACGAATACGCAGCCACTTCGTCATGGTGCAACTGTCAAACTAAGTAAACCATTTTCTTTTATAAATAGCCTACTACGGTATGACCTATAGGTTAGTGCATGCAAAGAAAACCAAGGCATTGTATGCACAGGTGAAACGGGGACCTTATTTGTACGATGGTGCAAACATTATCACGCATACGGTAGATCTAATTTTGTGCCTACTAAGCACAACTCGCCCTTTGCCTCTATTTTTCGAATGGATTTTTTTTTCACAAAATGGAATGTTTTCACTGCAGATGACTTCTAAATTTATTCATCTTTCCGTGTGTACCGTAAGATTTGATAAAGAGAAGCAAATTTTTGAGATTTTGTTAAAAATCTAACACTGTTTCTTGACCCCAAACTCGACCTACGGAATATAAATTAGGTCTAATGCGTTGAAACGCCATTCACGAATGCCATCGGATGAAGATAACAATTGATTCGGTTGGAGCGCTTCTTTTATTTTTGAGAAAAATACAAAACTTTTAATGCAGATTTAGTAAAGCTGAGTTCTTAAATAAAATTCAGCAAAAATTCGAATTTCAGATAAGATCATATAAGATTAGGAGTCCAAAAGCGAGCTATTTTTCTGGCTCCCTTCTAGGACAAGCCTTTACAATTTTGGAAAGGGCCTGACCCCTTTGGCACTACCACATTAGCTACACCATTGGCCGCAGTAATTTATTGTGTGTTTTTATCGACTTCAAGGGGAATGCTGCATGCCTGCGAGACGACCGACGTGAAGTGAGATCTTGTTTGGCTTTCCGTGCGAAGATTTGTTCCAGTGTCTCGCTGTTGTTGTATTTGATCCCTCGAGTCGAAAACATGTTAGCCTTGTTTGGAGAATTTTTCAAATAAATTATAATACGCTCATTACGGCGTGTGCTATACAGTTGGCACGTTCGGTTGTTGGTATGGCAACCGCACAGAGAAGCCAGACCGCCACTTGTAGTGCTGTGCAGTACATGTATGCTGAAAAATGTAGATCAAATTGTAGGTATCGGTTGCGAGGGTGCTCAGAGTGTGCCAATCTAACGTTTCTCTCGGACAAAAACTAAATTGCACAAGTTACAGGGAACAATTATCATGATCATTTTGCTGTTTGTTCCAGCCGATTATCCCACTGTTCGTTATGTGGTACCCATTTGCTTGAGCGTTTCAGATTACAAATAAGCTGCGCAATGCCTGCTACGACTCAGAACAAGACTTCAAAAGCAAAATCGCTCGAAAACATTATTGTCCATTCCCCTATGATGGTGACTCTCAAAATAGTCTATTTTGCAGGTCGTAAAACGGTCTTCTTATCCTGCAACCCCGTCGTCGTCGTTGGTCGGTTGGAAATCAATTGGCCAGTGTGTTGAGCGCATATAGTAATTGTTAGATGAGATAAGTCAAGTGATTGAAGGCGTACACTTTCTGATTTATTCTGTCATATTCTTGCATAGCGCGGGCAATATTTGTGGATGTATTTGTATGTGGGGGACCGATCTTGAATACATATTCTAACCTACCTGTTTTGCGATTTATTCAAGAGCGAAGCTTGAACACAAGAAGCCGCCTGCGCCACCTGCACCATCGCACGCGGGGATTTATTTTAATTCTCTGTTTTTATTACGCTTCGCCGCTGTATGCCAGAGAGCAGGTTTTCGACCAGCCCCGTAGCAGCAACTTTGCCTTGACTGCTGCCAAACGAACAACAATCCGCGCAGCTCCAGTCAGTGCTAGTTTGGCGAGGTGACAATAGACAGCGCGGTGTTGTCTTTTCCCGCGATCGCGCGATATTCCGAGTCTTCGCATCGTGGAACGTTGATTGATTTTCAACTTTGTTTTTGAACGTGTAAACGAATCTGAAGGTGATCACCGAAAAATTACCGTCGCCGCCTGACAGATCGATGTGTACGCGCTTTTTTTTTATCGGTTTACGGTCAAACCGTGCTTTTAACCCTTCGTTCCTTTGAGCAATCCAAGTGACCTTAGTTTCAACGCTCGCCGCCACTCTGGCTAGCGAAACGAAGAAGGCTATAATGACGCACGCTTCAGCGCAAGATAAATTCGTTTAGCCATGTGCACTACTGTGTCCAGCAAAGTGCCATATAGGATGTGCGAGTGCGAAAGTGATTTTTATATTAGAGGCTCATTGAGTGCGTGTAACAAGTGACCGACAACAGCAAGTAGTGTGCAATCAGCCATCAGTGGCAAGTGAGTAATAATGGGAGTTTAATCCAATTTGTGATGTTAAATCAGTTCGTTTACATCGCCTTCTTGGATGCCGTGGAGTGAATGGTGTGCCTTAAGAAGCGGATTTGTACTCTCGAAAGAACGAGCTTGTAACGGAATAATAGTAGCCGTCTAAATTTGGAAGCAATCGTACCTTACATATATTGTCAACAAGAAGCTCTCTGTCAAGTGAGTTGTGTAGATAAGAAGAGCCATTATTCATTTCCACTGTGTATTTACTTTGTTGACCGTACTATTTTGCAATAATTTGAACGGTGGTGATGATCAATCGCTTAAGACTCCAAATCGTTCTCTACGTCGTACGGGCGGTGATATTTTACTTCTGTTACTGTGAGGAGAATAAGTCAACTTCACACCAGTAGCACGCGATCATCGTCGTCATCTTGTTAGCAGCTCCAAAACAAACATGCATTTTGACACACTTCAGAAACACACACGCTTGCTGCTCTGAGGTGCAAAACGTCGAGCTATGCGCTTGTTTGTAACATGAATTATTAAAACGCCGTTTCCCATAGTCATCAACGTGCTTCGGTTGCTAGAAAGTATGTTCACTTAGACACAACATAGCAGCATCTGGCTTGACTTAACACAGTCGCGAGCTGAACACACACATGACTAAGGCTGATCTCTTAATGCATCTTTGCGCCAAAGTGGCAATTTCCGGATATTAGCGTTGTTCGACTTTTTATGTGTTTCTGGAGCAACAACGAAGAAAAAAAAGCGACAACTTTTCGCTAAGCGCTTTTGCGTCTGCCGTCGTCAGAGTCGATGAGAATCCAGTAAGTCTAGTTTTACCACGCAGATCCGTCAGACACTGTATTCGCTGAGGTTCGGTTTGGTTTGGCTGCCTCTCGATTGTGAGAAAGGTATTAATTGAATGATTAAGTTGTTACAATTGTGGCATACTGCTGCTGCGGTTTCTTAAGTCGAATTAAGTGCGCCCCAATTGCTGCCATCAAATTTGTAATTGCACTGCCCTACACTCGTTGGATGGCATTTGAGGAATTCTACTTGATTGCGTGTAACGTCGAGTGTCTACTGGCTCAGCTCAAGTGCCTGATGTTGTCAAGATACGGCACAGATGTGATCTCGCTTGCTATTATGCCCACTTGGAAGGTTGATAGCTCTTGGAAGATGTGAAAAGTTAAGTCACTCAAAGTCGTCGTCGTATTTTTAAGGGTGCGTGCAATATGGCACTGGAAACGATTACAACAAGGCGTCGAACAATACACTGTTTTCCAGCAGAATCAACGATCAGATAAGTGCAAGCACGCGACCAAAATATCAAATTACGCACATTGATGTTGTGCGTTTGCTGCACCTACCTATGCGATTATATCAAGGTATAAACCAACTCACGGTGAAGAAGATAATCAACACATCATTCACCCTCCAATTGCCGGAAAGTGGTTGGTAAAACAGCAGAGATGGGTGCAGCTTGCCACGAGAGCTCTATATATCGCAATCGACGCAGCAGATGTCAAGCATCCGACTCATAAATGTGCCAATTTTGGGAATGCATGGCGTGTGCCACGTGCCAGGTTCAATTTTGCCTCGCTTTCAACGATGGGACCGACGATGGATCGAAAGCTGCAAAGCTTGTGCCTTCGTTTGGTGTGACCATAAAATCTTAATAATGCATTCTGGAGCAGCAGCAGCAGCAGCAGTAGCAGTGTATCATTAAATGTTTCGCCGCACAGGAATATTCTTTCGATAAAGAGCAGTTCTACATGCTTTCCACAGAAGGCGACCCCATCGCTTATGCGGGTACAGTGACCGTCGAAGATATGGTGACGCTGAACTGTTTAATGTGTTTATTGTGTCAACTTCTATGCTAAGAATTTTGTAAATGTACGTAGCTGAAACAAGAATGGATTAATTGCTGCGCCGGAGCAAACAATGATTGAAATTTACAGATTTTCCGCGAATCTCGAAATTCGTTCTCTTAAAATTGAGAAGTGTCATAAGAAAAAGAACTCTAATAAGATTTACATTCAGACTTACCTCAACTAGCACGAAAGAATGCATCAATATTTGAATGCCATATAATTTACAAAATTCCTCAACTACTGCGAAATTCCCTGAATTTACTGCAAATTATTATTTTTTTAATCTCTCTTAATTCTACGAAGACCTCTGAACATCTTTGAACTTCTACAAAGACCTCAACACATTTTATTGAAAATCTGTAAAGTTCCTTGAAATTGATATTTCATGGAACTTACCAGATGTTGATTCAGCAGAGAAAGTGAGCGGATGGCAGTGTGAGAACTGGTATACCCTGATTCAAAGTACCCTTGATATTAGGTTCAATTCATCCCGATTTACTTGCATATTTTGTATGACTCATCCTTTTTTTTTAATTATGTCTATTAAGAGCAATTTACTTTGCTGTACTGTAATAGAGGGGATCGGTGGCCTTAGAGCGGACGTTTTTGCTTACTTAGCAGAAGATCGAGGGTTTAAACTCAGGCTCTTAATATGAATCATGAGTCGTAATTTTCATAACATGAACACATCAGTTTAATTCAGCGTACCGTTTACTCCTTCCAAACTGTTTGCCCCACTGTACTTAACAACTGGAACTGAACACGCGTTAGTTGCAATCGAAACGTCGTACAACAACCACCTGCCTAACTGCCATCCAGGTGCTACGAAAATGGGAAAACTCCGCGTCGTCGCCATCCGACTCAGACAACTCGTGAAGAAAACCATGAAAAAAACCACCGGCTTTCGATTATTCGCTTATCCTCAATCGCCATGTACAAAACTATGCCCGGGCAAACATGCAGTGTAAACGAAGAAAACGAACAGAACGCACATATTTTGGGACAACAAATCATTAGAAACGATGTTTGTCCCTCTTGTCTTCCAGCAACGGCTCCTGTGGATTCGATTTCATCATGTTTCCCTCCCTCTCTTTCTCTATCTCTCTCTCTTCCTAATCCACCACCCGACATGTACAAATATTTGAAATAGTTTTCGCCGTCGTTCCAATGAAGTTGAACTGACATTTTTTCTTTTTCGTTTCGATTTTCTTTTCCAGATCCAGCACAGTTTCAATCGGCATCTAGAGTGAGTATTGGGACCGTGATAGATATCATAATCGCTTTGTATGTAGGTCATATATAACCTTTTATTGCATCCGAATGGAAGCAATTTTCGAGACATGATTCGAGCTGTTCTCCTCATATCGGAATTAGGGGGAATGATATTGAAGAAATCTTCAACGATGTAGGGGTCAATTAAGATATCGGCTAGCAGCGAGATTTTTTTCTTCTTTCTTCCGAGTGGAACACTGCTAGACGCCCGAAATCCCCAAATGGAGTTGTTTTTCGGAGGTTGGATGCGTTCTTTACGCATTGTATGCTTAGATGTAGTTCATTGTACCATCGCACAGAGGGGTATTTCTACAATGTAGTTGGCCTATTGTCGATTTTTAAAAACTACCCAAAATTGATTCTAAATTGTTGTTTTGTATGCTCAAACGATAGGAGAACAATGCTCTATATCTTTTATGTTTTATTCAATGCTCACAACGTTGCGGTATCAATACTAATTTGACTGTTTTTGTATTGTGCAAGTTCGCTCGTTTGTAGTTTTATTGCCTCCGTTTGCTGCTGGGTTCAATGAATCTGTTTGTAAAAAAAATATGCGTTGATCAAGCAGGTATTCCACATGAAATCAGTGGATTTAGATAAATTTTTGGCTTCGTTCAATTTAATACAACCGTTTTTTCAACTTTAATATCATGGTAAGAAAGTTAACATATCATGCGATGCCTTGTATTGAACATTAATGGCACGTATGTATAGAAGATTTTAGCGAAAAAAAATTCTGCGATTATTTGCGATCTTTCGAGATCATCGCAAGACAAGGCGTCCTTAACAAGTTTACCGAAATGAAAGAACTAATGTCCACAACGGGTACAGCAAAACATCACATAGCCGCCCTTATTCGCATTATCGCATAATTATCCACAGTCTATGTAAATCTTAAAAATTGTGTATGGATAATTGTCTACGCAGGGGGAGGGGGGCCAAGAATACCAAAAAACCGTCTGCGTAATTATTGAACAACCCCAAAGATGCGTTTCACATCTCGAAAGGCTGGGTATCTGGTCTGCCTACGACTTTTATTATCTTATGAACTGCGGTTGCTCCTTCCTAGTGTTTTTCGATGTTATTTTCTTTTTCCGACTTTGCATTCTTCCTGTTTTGACGTAGGATTACGTCTTTTGCAATATATATGGGGTGCAATTTCAAAAAACCAAAATCGACCGCGTTACGAAAAGTGGTCAGGATTCGACCACTTCTAACTCTGTCAAAAGCGGATGGATATTAATTCTAATCAAGCCATTCAATTAGAATGTTATCTACAAATCTGCTAAAATTAACACTTTATCAATTTTCAAAAGGTCACTATTGAAAATTGCACGAATGTGCAACTGCTGCTATAATAATGAAAATTATCACTGATTGACTACGAAAAGCGCTTTCCCCAACACAGATTTAAAAATCGAATTCACTCCGGTTGCAGCAGCAGCAGTGCTTTCATCGTGTGGCGATAGTTCTCTAGTACACGATGAAAGCCTGCCCGCAAGCGCGAGCTGCCGCCCACTGAGCGGTCGATTCGCCGAAGAAGAAGGAAAAAGTTGTACCGCTACAGGATTTCAGTTGCTCGTTGTGAGAGCCGCTGTGAGCCATCTATGCCAAGCGCGTCACCGTTCTAAACAATATGCAACTCACCAGCCTTATCTGTGTAAAACACCTTAATAGCTCAACATTACTCAACCTTCACGACAAAATGGTCCTTTTCAAGACCACCATACATTTGTCAAAGAGTATTTTCTGGAAACTTCTCGCGTTAACTTTCAAATAGATCAATCCACATTGATCGATTTTCTTCATCGACTTTCTCTTTCGTTAATAACTCGGCACAAAAAACATGTTCAGCTGTTATTATCGTCTAATACGCTTCATAATAGTTTCTGTTAATAGACTATGTAGAAAAATTAGCTCGACATATGAATGCAGCCAAGTTATCAACGAAAGAGAGAGTCGATAAGAGAATTGATCAATGAGATTGTTCTATTTGAAAAGTGACGCGAGACTTGTCAAGGTCATAAATCGGATGTCAGTTCCCATTAGTATAAATCTAGCTTACCATGTATTTTTAAGGCAACGTTGGGAGTGCAGTTTGAAACACCGAAGTCGGTCACAAAAGTGGTCTGATTTTGATCCAGAGATGATGAATTGTAATACGCCAATCGATAAGAAATTTGTCTACGTATCTGTTAAAATTAAGAATTTATCACTTTTAAAAATGTATTGGAAATTTCACGAATGTGCTACTGTTGCTATTATAATTAAAATTATGACCCATTGCCTGCGAAAAGCGCATTTCAAAATTGAATTCCATCCGGTCTCACCGAACGGGTTTCATTCAATCACCGCGTCTGGTGAGTGATGGTGTTATCACGTATACAACAAAAGGCTCCCCGCAAGCAGCTAGCTAGCTTTGATAATGTACCCAGCAACAAATGCGTCAGGGATTGAAGTGGTAAATACAAATTCTCGCAATGACCGAATACCTCATGACCATGTCCAGGCATGGAAAATCATTTGCATCATTTTGTGCATTCATTTACATTCATTTACCCCTAACTTTTTTCATCATCTGAATTCTGCAAAATAATTTATGGAGCTTTTGTAGGTTTTGTTATTAGGTACAACTTTTGTTAACAACTCAAATCCGTATCTCTTATGTATGATGAAACTGAGTGAACAGAAACCACTAATGTTTTTCAATGAATGTATTTTACATTCACTGAAAAACAGTAACAAGTTCTGCCCGCTCTAATTCGTGATGCATAAGAGATACAGATTTGGGTTATGGGCAAAAGTTGGAGCTGATAACAAAACCTACTAAAGCTCTATACATCATTTTGCGGAATGCTGTTGATGATAAAAGTTAGAGGCAAATGAATGTAAATGAAAGCCTGAAATGAATGTAAGTGATTTTCCATGCCTGACCATGTCTATTAGCCAGAAACACTTGAAATTAAGGTAAGGTTTTTACTAGGATGCTAGAAAAAGCAGAAAAACTCGAATTTATATGGTATATCTCGCGACCGGAAATATATATCAAATAATCGAATAAATAAATTTTCGCTTTTTTATCATCTATTGAATAAGCGTTTTGTGCACGAAATTGCAATAGTTTGTCATCAGAAAACGAGGCGTTTCCGTGATATGAAAAGTGGTTTTCCTAAAACAGTCGCCGTATATTGATACCGAGCACTGAGAATGCCGGATGATACCTATCTTTATGCCTTTTGATGCATATTTTAATCCCCTCCTATTACAAGAATTATGCAAAAAAATCTTTCCTAATTCTCTTAATAGTAGGGGTCTAAACCATAGCATACCGTCCGGTATGCTTAGTTTCTCTGTGATAGATGTGTTTTCTTTAATTCATATTTCATTTCCACACCGCATCATCTCCAAGAACATCGAGGAAAAAATCAACAGCATTGGTCTAAACTGGCTTCCAAGCTTCCAACCCATCGGTCCTTTCTGAGACCACAAATTACTGATAAAAGAGGTAACTAAAGAGTTCAAGTAAGAGCTTGTATCCAAGACATGTCGTCCAGAACACCGATAGAGCACCTCAAAAACATAACTCTCAAATTGCTTCCGAATTTCAACCTATCGAATTTTTTCACTGATAACGAGTTAAGAAATCAATTTAATATCCACTGTACTTTTGCTGTGACATCAAAACTACCTTTCGTAATCCTACGTCAAATCTACGGTCGTGTCTTGGATACAACCTTTTACTTTTTCTTTGTTGTGTCCTGTGCTCACGGTCCAACTTGCCAGCATTATTCCTGCATCACTGGACCGATATATAATTGGTTTGTCAAAACATGCAAACTGTCAGAAACACCAGGTAGCCAAAAAAAACCATAATAAAGGGTGATACGCTCAAAATTTGGTCAATATCAACTTGACGTATTTCTTTCAATTTTGCATTTAAAAAACCTGAACACCCCTCATTTTGAAGGTGTGTGTGTGTAGAATGTTGCTCCTATTTTGATTTTGGAATTCACTCTTCAGTTGTCAAAATGCCGTCCAAGCAAGAAGAGCAGCGTATCAAAATTTTGCTCGCGCATCGCGAAAATCCGAGCTACTCGCACGCAAAGTTGGCAAAATCGCTAAAAGTTGCAAAATCAACCGTTACAAATGTAATTAAAGTGTTTGGGGAACGTTTGTCGACAGCCAGGAAGTCTGGATCGGGGGGAAATCGAAAACCGGAAGCCGCTGAGACGACAAAGAGAGTTGCCGGTAGTTTCAAGCGAAACCCTAACCTCTCTCTCCGAGATGCCGCAAATAAGCTGGGTGTATCGTCTACAACCGTGCATCGAGCCAAAAAACGAGCCGGACTATCGACTTACAAGAAGGTAGTGACTCCAAATCGCGATGATAAACAAAATACGACGGCCAAAGCGCGATCCCGGAGGCTGTACACGACGATGCTGACGAAGTTTGACTGCGTGGTAATGGACGACGAAACCTACGTCAAAGCCGACTACAAGCAGCTTCCGGGACAGGAGTTTTATACGGCAAAAGGAAGGGGAAAGGTAGCAGATGTTTTCAAGCACATGAAACTGTCAAAGTTCGCAAAGAAATATCTGGTTTGGCAAGCCATCTGTACCTGTGGCTTGAAAAGCAGCATTTTCATAGCTTCCGGGACTGTCAACCAAGAAATTTACGTGAAAGAGTGTTTGAATAAACGTCTGCTGCCTTTCCTGAAGAAACACGGTTGTTCCGTACTGTTTTGGCCGGATTTGGCATCTTGCCATTACGGTAAAAAGGCCATGGAGTGGTACGCCGCCAACAACGTGCAGGTGGTTCCCAAGGACAAGAACCCTCCCAACACGCCAGAGCTCCGCCCAATTGAGAAATACTGGGCTATTGTCAAGCGGAACCTAAAGAAGACCAAAAAAACTGCTAAGGGCGAGCAGCAGTTCAAGGCAAACTGGCTTTCTGCGGCGAAGAAGGTGGACAAGG